CGCTGGTGGACATACTTGCGATGTCTGCTATGGCTATTGAGAGGGGAGGAAGCGCACCACCGGCCGACCTCCAAGCCACCGTCTTGCCATCGGCAGAGACAGAGACAGTTCCGTCCTGCTTCTTGTACTGTGCGGCAGCGTCAGCCATGGGCGGGTTGGAGGGGGATGCACGGCGTGGGTAGGTCTGACGCGGTAGAAGAATGCTAGACTAGTTTGGGGTTCCCCAGATTGACGCGGTGCACGTGACCACGCATCACCCGCCCTTGCGCCGTGGATTGCTTTTGCTTCGCTTGGGACGCGCTTTGTTGTCTATCTAGTATGTACTCGTCTAGTCCAGTGTGCATATGGTGGGAGCAGCCACAGAGCCCGGTCACAAGACACATGCATATGGCCGCTTCTTTTGTCAACATATGCAACCCAAGTATCTACTGACTTGTCCCGGCCGGCATGTACATGCATACTTTACTTAGAGTAGCATTACGAAGAGCATGGCACGGCATAGTGTAAGCCAAGCCCGTTGACGCACATTGTGGCGCAACGGATACATATCCGTTACACCCTCAGCACCGGCACGGCCTACGCTTCCCGCTTACATAATAATACACCGGTCGTCATTGGCGGGCGCCGCACTGTGCGTGTGGTTCCCGGGTGCATTCGTGCCTCTGTGCTACCATGACCAGCACGACAAGCAGCAGGCAAGAGACAGCGTAGAGATGCACGCCACAAAGCCATGGCAGCAGCCGGGCGCGGACAAGAGGCTCCAGACATTGGCTGGACGATTCGTGTTTGAGGCATTTGACGAGGCCTGCTCCGAACCGTCCTGGATCGCACAGGGCGCTAGTGTGGAACACGGGGCCCTACGCATGTGCCATGATCAGGCTTGCTCACTTTTGGACGGCGCACTGCCATCGCAGAAGCTCTCTTCTGTACACCACTGTCTGCTTGGATGACACGCATCCCTTCCTCCGTCCTGACATCCTAATTCACAATGTTGCGCAACACTCTGCGCCAGTGCTCTCGCAAGCTCCCGGGGAGCGCTCCAACCAGAGCATCCTTCACCACCTTCACACAGCCTTCGAGAACGGCCATTTCGACATGTCGCCGCCCTCTTGCGCTTACCCACCGCCGTTCCTATGCCGTTTCGGCTGAGGAGACCAGCAAGGGCGTTGTGCGTGCCCATTTACCCCCAGATACAAACTCTTCGACCCCCAGCTAACGATGACGGCATAGGACCCCAACGACTCGTTCCTCCAGGGCAACACGGCAAACTACATCGATGCCATGTACATGCAGTGGAAACACGACCCCGAGAGTGTTCACTACTCATGGCAGGTCTATTTCCACAACATGGAGTCTGGCGACATGCCCGTGTCGCAAGCCTTCCAGCCGCCGCCCACCATCATGAGCTCGCCCCAGGGCGCTACGGCCAGGCCGGGCATGGGCATGGCCAATGTCGAAGGTACAGACATTATGAACCATCTCAAGGTCCAATTGCTTGTCCGCGCATACCAGGCTCGTGGCCACCACAAGGCCAAGATCGACCCGCTCGGCATTCGCTCGGAGGCTGAGTCTTTTGGCTACAACAAGCCCCGCGAGCTCGAGCTTTCCCACTACAACTTTACCGACAAGGATTTAGAGCAGGAAATTGAGCTTGGTCCGGGTATTCTCCCCCGCTTCAGGACAGAGTCTCGCAAGAAGATGAAGCTTAAGGAGATCATCGACGCCTGTGAGCGCCTGTACTGCGGCTCCTACGGAATAGAATACATCCACATCCCCGACAGGGAGCAGTGCGATTGGCTCCGTGAGCGCATTGAGGTTCCCACGCCGTTCAAGTACTCCGTCGATGAGAAGCGCCGCATCCTGGACCGCCTCATCTGGGGCACAAACTTCGAAGCTTTCTTGGCTACCAAATACCCCAATGACAAGCGATTCGGTCTTGAGGGTGGCGAGAGTTTGATTCCCGGAATGAAGGCATTGATTGACCGAAGTGTCGATTATGGCGTCAAGGATATCGTTATTGGTATGCCTCATCGTGGACGTCTCAACGTGCTCTCCAACGTCGTCAGGAAGCCCAACGAGTCCATTTTCAGTGAATTTGCCGGTACTGCTGAGGCCAACGAAGAGGGCTCTGGTGATGTCAAGTATCACTTGGGTATGAACTTTGAGCGTCCCACCCCGTCTGGAAAGCGTGTGCAGCTGTCCCTTGTCGCCAACCCGTCCCATCTTGAGGCTGAGGACCCCGTTGTGCTTGGAAAGACCCGCGCCATTCTGCATTACAACAACGACGAGAAGGAAGCTGTCAGTGCCATGGGTGTTCTTCTGCACGGTGATGCCGCTTTTGCTGCGCAGGGTGTCGTCTACGAAACTATGGGCTTCCACCAGCTGCCCAGCTACCACACTGGCGGAACCATTCACATTATTGTAAACAACCAGATTGGTTTCACCACTGATCCCAGGTTTTCGCGCTCTACTCCTTACTGCTCCGATATCGCCAAGGCCATTGATGCGCCCGTCTTCCACGTCAACGGCGATGATGTTGAGGCCGTCAACTTTGTCTGCCAGCTCGCCGCCGACTTCCGCGCTGAGTTCAAGAAGGACGTAGTCATCGACATGGTTTGCTACAGGAAACAGGGTCACAACGAAACGGATCAGCCTTTCTTCACTCAGCCCCTCATGTACAAGAAGATCTCGCAACAACCTCAGACACTGGACATCTACACCAAGAAGCTCCTCGAGGAGAAGACTTTCACCAAGGAGGACATTGATGAGCACAAGGCTTGGGTCTGGGGTATGCTAGACGAGAGCTTCAACCGCAGCAAAGACTATGTTCCCAACTCCCGGGAGTGGCTCACCTCTGCATGGAACGGCTTCAAGACACCAAAGGAGCTTGCTACCGAGGTGTTGCCTCATTTGCCAACTGCCATTGAAGAGTCACAGCTGAAGCACATCGCCAAGGTGATCGGAGAGGCGCCAGAGGACTTTAATGTACACAAGAACTTGAAGCGTATCTTGGCTGGTCGTACCAAGACGGTCATGGATGGCCAGAACATCGACATGGCTACTGCTGAAGCGTTGGCATTCGGAAGTCTGTGCATGGAGGGCCACCACGTCCGTGTTTCTGGACAGGATGTGGAGCGTGGAACCTTCTCTCAGCGTCACGCTGTTCTCCACGACCAGGAGACGGAGAAGACATACACACCTCTGCAAAATCTCAGCCAGGACCAGGCAACATTTACCATTTCCAACTCGTCCCTCAGCGAGTACGGAGTGTAAGTGGTGAACATTTTTGTTTTGACGTATCATGTTGTCTAACCCAATCCAGGCTCGGTTTTGAATACGGATACTCACTGTCGTCACCCAACGCGCTTGTCATGTGGGAGGCCCAGTTTGGTGACTTTGCCAACACTGCTCAGGTCATCATCGATCAATTCATTGCATCGGGTGAAGTCAAGTGGCTTCAGCGTTCTGGTCTCGTCATGAGCTTGCCACACGGTTACGATGGTCAAGGTCCTGAGCACTCCTCGGGTCGTATTGAGCGTTACCTACAGCTGTGCAATGAGGACCCGCGCATCTTCCCATCGCCAGAGAAGCTTGATCGCCAGCACCAGGACTGCAACATGCAGATTGCCTACACCACGAAGCCATCCAACTTGTTCCATCTTCTCCGTCGCCAGATGAACCGCCAGTTCCGCAAGCCGCTCGTCCTGTTCTTCTCCAAGTCGCTCCTTCGCCACCCAATTGCGCGCTCGAGCATTGATGAGTTCACCGGAGACTCGCACTTCCAGTGGATCATCGAGGACCCGGCCCACGCCAGCGGAGAGATTGAGTCGCACGAGGGCATCAACCGCGTCATTCTCTGCACTGGTCAGGTTTACGCTGCGCTTGTCAAGGAGCGTGAGGCACGTGGAGAGAAGGATGTGGCGATTACGCGCATCGAGCAGCTCAACCCATTCCCATGGCAGCAGCTCAAGGACAACCTCGACTCATACCCCAATGCACAGAACATTATCTGGTGTCAGGAGGAGCCACTCAACGCAGGAGCTTGGAGCTTCACACAGCCTAGGATTGAGACTCTGCTCAACCAGACAGAGCACCACAACAGGAGACACGTCATGTACGCTGGACGCAACCCTAGCGCATCTGTAGCGACTGGACTCAAGGTATCGCACAAGAACGAGGAGAAGGCGCTGCTGGATATGGCCTTCACGGTCAAGCAAGATAAGCTGAAGAGCGAGTAGAGGAGCGCGTTGGACTTGTAATAGAGGCCAGGATCATGATTGGCTGCATTGCTGGATTCCCCCCTTGGTGCGATGGATAGAGCGAGGGTTGGAGATGTGGGCTTTGCAGGATTGTTCAGTTGAGCATTTTCATCACTGCGGATGTAGGTTTACTGCGTGTAGAGTATCAAAAGCTGGATCTTACCTTGTTACGATGTTGTTCGTATTTGCCGTGGGCTGACATGGGGTGTGCTCAGTTTTTGGTATTTCTTTGCTGGGGTCACGTGGCTGCGCGGATAAACAAAGGGCTGCGGGTAGGACAGGGTGGTCGTGTGCCGTCACGTCCGCGGGTCGGAACAGGTCGGAGCGACGTCAGTGGGCAGTGGGGGAGCCAGACCGCCCCGCTCACCCCTCGTTGCAGCCCCTCCACTTTTTTGCGTCTCCGCACATGCATCTTCGCCTCCAGCCACGCGCTCCCGCAACAAAGCGCGTCCATGTCCTCTCCTCGGCAATGTCCACACACCCTCACTCTTTGTCGTCGGCACTATTTGTCGCGACCGTCGGTCTTCCTTCGGATCACCCGTGGCTGACACATGCGGCTGGAGCATCGTGAAGTGTCCTGTGACGCCCGATCACTTGCCGAGGGATGGCTATAGCTTGCTGGCTCCATTCCGGCCAACGCATCTGCCAAACAAATGCCACAGAAGTGTGGTCCGCCTGTCCGACTCTACCCACCCTGACTTCATAATAAACCTCAGCTCCGCTTTTTGCTTCAATTGAACCGCATAGATTTTCACCATCCTCCCCAAAGCTTCTCCATCTCCCATACCCATCTTTCCCATCTTTCCTTCTCCGCTCATACCCATTCTCCATTGCGCCTCGCCCATACCCCCTTTGTAGCAATCCTCCATCGTGAACTGTGTTATATTGCCGCACACATACATATACACTGACAATGGCTTCCACCACAAACGGCGACAGCAATCCAGTTGCTCAGGAGAAGATCAACACCAACATCATCACCCTCACTCGATTCCTGACGGAAGAGCAAACAAAAGTCAAGGAAGCGACGGGAGATTTCACGTGCGTTAATTTTTCCGGGGCGTCTTGACACGGAAAAACTAACTGGTTTACTACAGACTGCTATGCCACGCGCTCCAGTTTGCCTTCAAGAGCATTGCTTACTACATCCGGAGAGCGTCATTAATCAATGTACGCAAACTCCCTCAAAGAATATCCATAGCCACAAACTGACTTGAGCAGCTCACTGGTCTCCAAGGCACATCTAACACAACTGGCGATGACCAGAAGAAGCTTGATGTGATTGGCGATGAGCTCTTCATCAGCGCAATGCGCTCGTCAGGTCGCGTGCGCCTCCTCATTTCCGAAGAGCAAGAAGAAGCCATCATCTTTGACGAATACCCCAATGCGCGTTACGCCGTAGCCTGCGACCCCATCGACGGCTCCTCCAACCTCGATGCCGGTGTCTCCGTCGGCACCATTTTCGCCGTGTACAAGCTCCCAGAAGGCGCAAAGGGCACAAAAGAGGAGCTCCTCCTCCCTGGCACCGAGATGGTCGCCTCAGGCTTCACCATGTACGGCGCCTCTGCCCAATTGGTCATCACCATGAAGGGCGGCAACGTCAACGGCTTCACCCTCGACAATGCCTTTGGCGAGTTTATCCTCACACACCCTAACATGAGGTGTCCCAAGACACGATCCATCTACTCGGTCAATGAGGGAAACAGCATGTACTGGGAACAGCCCGTCAAGGAGTGGTGCGAGAGCTTGAAGAACCCTCCCGAGGGCGGAAAGCCATACAGTGCGCGTTACATTGGTTCCATGGTGGCAGATGCGTACCGAACATTGCTGTACGGAGGTATCTTTGCTTACCCTGCTGATAAGAAGACTCCCAAGGGCAAACTTCGTATCCTGTACGAGTGCGCTCCCATGGCCATGGTTTTTGAGAATGGTACGTTCTCTCTTTTCCTCTCTCTCTATTTTTATTTTTTACATGATGCTAAGAATTGTTGCAGCTGGCGGTTTGGCAGTAAACAGCAACATGAAGCGCATGCTCGAGGTTGTGCCCGAGCACATTCACGACCGATCCGGTATCTTCCTGGGTTCAGAGGGCGAGGTACAAAAAGTCATTGATGCGCACAAGAAGTATCAGAAGTAATGATCCCATGCGTGTTTCACGCGGTTGGGACGAGTGCAAAAGGAAAAAGCTCATCGACGTGTCTTTGCAATATATCCTAGGAGTAGTTTTGTATGAAGTTGCATAATGACTTGAAACTGAATGAAATCCACCTACTTTTGAAGGGAGACTAGGCAGTGGACGTGAAGAATTCGCCTCGCAACATCCTCCTCAAGACCATCCCAGTCATCACCATCATCAGAACACGACTTAGTGTTTGCAACTTCTATTCGGGGTATAAAACTATATTCCCTAACATGGCTGCCATTCTCGCTTCGAGCTATCCAGTCTTTGCCAGATGGCTTCGAATACCTGCTAAACTATGCACAAGCCCACATCCACACTAACATCTACCCTTTCATTCCATCATTCATAAGCCCCCTTCCTATTCCCATTCCGAATTCGAGACGCCGAAATTCCGTTACGCTGAAAGCCAGCCCCATCGACCATTAATGGGAGAGCCTGGCTTCTGAGGTATCAAACTGTTTGCGCGAACAAAGTCCCACCGCACACCCACTCATGCTGTGTCGTCAGAGACGGGGTGCCGTCTATCATACATAGGAAAAACAAACCAGTGAAAAAAAAGGAAACGTTGGGAAGAAAAGAGGGAAAGCCACCTGACTCTTGAGACAGAGTTTGGGCGACCGTAGTCATGACGTTCGACGTTCCAATCAAGGAGTCAGTCGCCAAAAGAAAGTATTGTAGTCGACTCGCCGCAGGGATACGACTCGTCGAAAATGTAAAAGGGGGGACATCGAATCGTAAGAAACTTTTGGGGTACAATCGGTCATCAAAGCCGTCCCGTGTCATGAGAAAACCGTTACTCGTGCGCCATTCGCCATTCAAGGAAATCATGCGACCATCATAACTTGCTGCCGTTCGAGGGTATCGCGGACCGAACCCTACTCAGTGGCAACTAGAAAGAGGCTTAGGCTTTCTCCTCTTTGGACTCCTCCTTGGGGGCTTTCTCTTCGGGCTCACCCTCTTTGTTCTTGACATATTCGTCATAGACGCTCATAGCCTCCTCAACCTTGGCGCGCAGAGCTGCCTCGTCAGAAGTACTGGATGAGTTAGTACAAAAGTTATACAAAACAAAGAATAGGCAATACGTACAGGTTGATCAACTCGCTGTTGTCCATCTCGAGGAGCATACCGGTGATCTTACCAGCGAGCTCAGGCTGCATCTCAGCGATTTTGGGGTAGAGAGCCTCACCGAGCATCTGCTTCTGCTGACCAGGAGCAGCGCCGCTCAGAGCGCTCATATCGACACCAGCGCCGGCGGGACCGCCGCGTCCGCCTTGAGGGTAACCTGGCATGGGAGATTGCCCAGGTCGGCCGCCCTGGGGCATGTTGCCGCGACCAGCACCTTGAGGAGGGAATCCCTGACTGCCACGCATACCCGGACCGCCAGCCATGGGGACTTGCGGCATACCAGGCATAGGAGCCATAGGGACACCGCCACGACCACCACGTCCACCCATTGCTTGCTGTGCAGCCTGTGCCAGTTGCATGTACTGCTGGTTCATGTACGAAGGAGGGAAAGCACCGGGCGCCATACCAGGGGGCATGTACATGGGAGGCATCTGCTGGCCGTTGGGGCCGCCACGACCGCCTTGCTGACCAGGCATGCCGCCAGGGAAGCCAGCACCACGGCCACCTTGTTGGCCGGGCATACCAGCGGGGAATGGCATCTGACCACGACCGCCAGCAGGGAACATCATGGGCTGCTGACCAGGGGCAATGAACATCTGAGGAATGCCACCGAACTGCTGCTGTTGCTGTTGCTGCATGCGGAGTTGGTTGCGAGCCTGGATGGTAGCCTCGAGCTGGTTCTTGCGGACGTCCTTGCGCTGGGCAAGAGCAACATAAAGGGGCTTGCCCTCGATCATCTTCTGGTTCATCTCAGTGACGGCCTTGGTAGCTTCATCGGGGTTGCTGAAGCAGACGAAACCGAAGCCCTTGCTCTTGCCAAGAATCTTCTTCTCACCCTTGATGGTGACCTTCTCGCCAGGCTTGTTCTCATCCTTCTTGTCATCAGCGCCCTCCTTAGACTCCTCAGTCTTCTCGGCCTCTTCCTTGGATTCCTCCTTCTTCTCGTCACCAGGAGTCTCAGAGCGCTCGGCAGGCATAGCATCGCGCATGACCTTAGCGGAGGTGATGGTACCGAAAGGTGTAAACATGTCGCGCAGCTTCTCGTCATCAACGTCATCGTTGAGGTTCTTGATGTATAGGTTGACACCCTGGTATTTGGACTGCTTCTCGAGGCGGGCGGCCTCGTACTGCTTGCGCAGCTCCTCCTCACGCTCGTGCTTCTTTTGGGCACGGCCGACGTAGAGCTTCTGACCGCGGAAGTCAGTGTCGTTGAGGGCGTCAACGGCAGCAGAGGCAGCCTCGTGCTTGATGTAGTTGACAAAGCCGAACCCGCGGCTCTTTCCCTGCTCGTCGCGAGCAATGGACGCAGAAGTGATGTCACCGTGCTTCTCAAAGAGCTCACGGAACTCCTCGTCAGAGACATCAAGGTCAATGTTCTTGACGTAGATGTTGGTGAAGTTGGCCTTCATCTCCTCGAACTTGCTCATGCGCTCCTTCTTGGGGATGTGGTGGCCAACAAAAACCTTCTTCTCGTTCAACAACATGCCGTTAACGTGCTTGATGGCGTTGTTGGCAGCCTCGGCGGTTTCGTAGTGGACGAATCCGTAACCCTTGGAGTTGCCAAGCTCGTCCTGGGCGACCTTGCAGCTGAGGATGTTACCGAAAGCGGCGAAGGTGTCGTGAAGCGCCTTGTTGTCAATGGCATGGTCCAGGTTCTTGATGAAAACGTTGCCTTGGCCGGTCTTGCGCAGAGCGGGGTCACGCTGAGACCACATGATACGGCAAGGCTTGCCCTTGATAACAGTGTAGTTGAGCTCTTCGAGGGCCTTCTCGCCGTCCTCAGAGCTGTTGTAGTTAACATAGGCGTAACCGAGCGAGCGACGGGTAACGGCGTCACGGCAGACACGGATGGAAGCGACTTGGCCAATGGAAGAAAACAGCTCGAAGAGCATGGCTTCGGTGACAGAAGGGTCGAGCTCGCCGACATAGAGCGAGGCCGAGTTTTGGTTATGGGCAGGGGCTGCAGAGGTCGGGGTGGGGGCTTCGGCCTGGGCAGCAGCGACATTGGTGTTGATCTGAGCGCCGTTGGCGTCAGCACCGTCCTGAACGGGCGAAGTGGAGTTTGCGACTTCAGACATGGTGTCTATCTACGAGGCGAGGTGTCAGTTGAGGGATAGAGAGTAGCGGGAACAGATATTGCGGGCGGGCGCATGCGTGACTTGGGCAGGTGCGCTCGCTTCGCAAAAAAAGTTTAGGACACTCACCTGAACCTTGCTGGAAGTTGCAACAGGAGACGTGCGGGGTAGCAGAGGCTGTAGAAGCGGTCCAAGAGCAAAGTTGCTGCGGACACACTGGTTTCCTTCTTCTGGGCGAAAAAGGAGGACTCAAGCAAGACGTCTGTCGGGTATAGGCGACAGGACGAGACGAAGAGTTGGTGGTTGTCGTCGTCGGACGGGCTTTTCTTGTTGTTTTCTGTATTTTTTTGTTTCTTTTTGTGTTATGTACGGTCCACTGGGAACCGGGGCTGGAAGAGCTGGTGAGTGTTGTTGGGGTGGGTAAGCGTTGGAGGTGGCAGACACGACGAAGTCGTCAGTCTTTATGGGCAGGTGTGTGCGGCGTTTTTTTGGGTGGCCCGTGCACTTCCCCCACTAGCCGGTTTGGGGTGCCGCACCCAAGGCGGTGAATGAAAGAAGGCTGCAGGACGACTGACAACGACAACGGAAGGGCAGACCAAGGCGCAACTGCGTCCAAATTTTGAGGGCAGATCAGCGTAAAGGCCATACTTTGCGTCTGATCCCACAAACGCTCACTACAGACAAGTGTAACGGTTGTCAGAATGGTGGATCCTTTGTATCACATGTCAAATAGTGCGCCCAGGTGGGAAGAAGAGGCGTTTGAGGCCAAAAACATCATTTCAGCGTGTTTGCCAAGCGCATCTCTTCAGGAGAGGTGAAAACGATGCATTTAGTGTGATCGGCCCCTATGGCTGACACAGCAAAAGGAGAAGATGGACAGTAGTGCAGTGAGGGGTAGTCGCTGGAGGCCAGATATCCTGGTGTAGCAACTGCATACTGCAGGTCCATGCACATCAGCTGAACACCGATCCTGTGAGACGGAAGCAACCGCCCTCGCCAGGCGTAACCATATCGTATCATAGTCAGAAAACTGCCAAACAGTAATTTTGTATCCAACGGCTGCCCAAACAGACGTTTCAAACGGGTATCGATACGGTGCGTGAATGCAGAAAGAAAAGGACAGTAAAGTCATGACCCATGTACCCATATGCTCCAATCACTCTCGCAGAGTGTCATCCCAACCCCCTTGCTCTGACAGATGGTCCTCCACGCGTCGTTTGCAGTCTTCCAAGCCTTGTCCAAGCGCTTCATTCCACTGGCTCTCCACTAGGCCAACCTTCTCCTTCAGGTCATCAGTCAACCTCCTTTCTTCATCGGCCCTGATAGCCTTCATTTCTTGGTTCACTCCTGCCAAATCTTCGCCCTCTAGCAGTCTTTGTGTTTCGAGGAGTCGTGAACCAGCAGTCATGACGCCTGTCTTGACCTCGTGCAATAGACATAGCAGATTAATCTGTGACTCGATAAACTGGTAGGCAGAGCGACCAGCGTGTGCAAGAAGAGTGTAGAGATACTGTAGCGGGTAGTCGTGATAGGCTGGTGTCTCCTCGTACTCTTGAGGAGGCACCAGGATCCCAAAGCCTTGTAGGTTTCGAGGAATCTGCTGTACAATGGCAAGCAGCCCTGGTGCAATATCCCAGAAAGCAGACAGCTGAGTCTCAACTCCCCGCGTCACGTTCCGCTCGATGACATCCATAAAGTCTTCATAGCGTTTGAGTGTTTCCTTCTCAAAGGTGACTTTGCGATCTTGGCCGTCGTGCCGGAAGAAGCTTGTAGCTTCCTTTACCTTTTGTTCGTTCTTGGTCTGAACATAGGGCAGAATAATGATGTCTCGATAAAGGTCATTTCGTTCGTCTTCCAACTCGTACATCTCTTTATGTAGCTGTTCCCGCGCCTCAAA